CCTACACACTCAGAGGAGCAGGGACTCGCAGAAACACAGTACACGGCAGAGAACTAGTCAGCGTACAGTTCACATACTTTGCTTCCTTGCCAAGAAGGAGGTGCTGGTTTACTGTGCTTCCCTCTCACAACGGGATTATTGTTTTTTTCAGAACCAGGAAACGCAAAAATGAAACTGTAAAAAAGTTCTACCAAAAAAGACTACCTGGTTGCCCTTTTTTAATGCTAACTTTCCCTTGCATGCGAGAAGAATCCTTGCTGGGTTTTTGGTTGGAGCTGTGTTGGTCTAAGGACACAGGCAGGCAAGGCTCTTTAGGTAGACGTGACATCTTTTATTAGATCAACTGAGTAGTTGGAAAACAGTTCTTTGCAAGCTTTCAGGCGCAGTCATCCTTCTTCAGCCGCAGGAAGTCTCTGGTCTTCCGAGACTCCAAGGAATGAGAGAAGCTAAAAGTGTGCCAGGATGTCAGTGAGAATTCTCTAAAAGAATCCTTGTTAACTTGAGGCCAGGAGAAAAACTTGATGAAAAAGGTAAAATTAAGGTGTTTAACGGTAAAGAATTTCAACAGAAGGGTGTCAGTACTAGCCTTTATCACTAGAAACCTACATCCAGGACTCAGAATTTCACCCTAGCCTCTATCTGACAATGCTTTGCACCACAGGGAAGTACTAAGTTCAGTACACGTGGCAAGCATCCTGAAGCTTGTTATTACAAAAGCAGGTGCTGCTTCTAGGTAAAGAAGAACAACAACTATGAGAACTGCCCTTAAAATCTTCTGCGAATGACCATACACGTTCTAAAGAGAAATGGCCAACCTGAGCAAGCAGGTGGCAGAATTCCAGAGCTGCTTTTTTGCCACCACATTCTGCAACAGCAGTAAATAAATGCCAGTTCATGACTAAACGATCGAAGGGTTAAATGAGAAAGATCTCTGCTAGAGAGTAACAGCTCATGTGTCCAAAACTACACATTTCCTTTAAAAGGATCATTTGGAATCCACTTTGATTAGAAGGGGGCATCAAATCTTACAACCTGGCAGTTTGGGTAAGACAGATCACTAGTATTTGGCCAAAAGGTTTGTTTGTTGCAGGAAAAAGGGAACAATTATTTTGAGAAGTGGGACAAGACGTGACCACAACTTTGTGGCCGCATCACACTGGTAGACAGATGTTCAGCTCTTGCTTGCTTAGCAAAACCGGCAGGCAGAAAATATGACATCTCATTAAGTTTTCTTCACACACTGGAGTCATAATAGTTTTCTTCTAAAGCTTCCAAGATTGCACATGGAACAATTTAACTGAAGAGTTAAATGATGTGCTTTCTCCTCAAAATCTCACTATCTTTGCCACCATAGAAGCCTGCCAGCTATCATCTCTTGCCTTAGCAGGTCTGTATAGGTGTGTACTTGAACTTAGTTTCTCCCATCTAACAAGGAAAGACAGGAATATTCTAGTAACAGTGCTTAAAATGCCATTAGTCTTACAGAGCAACAGATCAGCAGTTAAGACAGTAAGTCACCAGTACAAATCTGAACAATTAATTCTCTCGAATACAAATATAATAGTTCAAGTTAAAAGACCTGTTTAAGCAGTATCACATCTTCCCATGTATTTATTTACCAGATCAAGTTGCAAATGCATGTGACCTCTTGCTCTCTGGGTAATTTCTCACAACACCAATTATTCATTAAGAGTAACAGTGACCTGGACTATCACCACGGTGCACACACGAGTCAGGCATCCTTTTAGCTACTCTGCAGCCTACGAAGATATGATACACTTGGTCAGTCTACTTTTAAGATACATTTCCATCTGATGAAATCCCTCTAGACACAGGAAGACTTGTGAGCTAGCATCCATGCACTTCGCTTTGAGTGTTCTGGGTTTTAATCTTGAGTAAAAAAAAAAAATCAAGTTTTGGCTTTACACGTACACGAGAGGTATTGCAATTCAGTAGGTGTCCCTTGTTCTGGAGATGACTACTGCTGGAACTGATGCAGTCATGAGGAAGGGAAAATTGAATGGATACAGCTGAAGAGCCTCTATACAGCTGTAGAAAACCTTTAACAAGCCCTGCTCCAGGTCTTCTATAGCCCAGTTCTATGCAAGAGACTTGTAAGAGTATACCAGTTCCTCACAGTTTTATTTTATTTTTGCTAAGAACTGAGTGCATAGAAACTACTACTTTCATCTCTTGTAACTAGGTTCTTAGCTGGAAACTTGATGCTTATTATGTAAATGTCAACAAGAGACTGCAGACAAAAGGAGCTTGACTTGTATATAAGAGTCCGGTTTTCCTTTTGTGGTGGTACGTGTCTAGAACCTGCCCTTTATAGTTCACTATGAATGGGGGGGTAAGTTGGGGGTAGAGCTGGAACAAATATTTTAACATAGAATATCTTCCTCCAGATAGATTCCCCCCTACAAAAACAATGGACTTGTATTTGCTCAAAGTTGGTATTACGTGCTCCAGTTGATGAGTAAAATTCAGATTCCCATTTGGTGGTATGATTTTAAAACAAATTTTACTCCATACGCATCGTCTCCCAACAGCTTACTTTTAAGTATAACCTGCCTCATATTCCTTTATCTTTAAAAGATCAAGGAATGCACAGTCTAGACTCTGGCCTCGAGCTCCTGTCCCTAGTTGTACGCAGGATCTTCTCCCATCCTGTGCCTGCACTCACTGATAGTGAAGAATCTACTGAGGTTCTCTCAACTTTAAAGCACAGTCCTCCACCCTTATCTTTCCTTGATCCTGATGGCCCCATGACACTAACTCTGCGCTCTGGGGTCAGCAGATCCAAATGTTTTCAGAACTTGGCACTTTTCCATCGTTACTGTCCAAGATCTGGGGCGTTTTTTAACTTGGAATCCCACAGTTTTCATTTGAACCTTTATTTGCTCATTTCCAGCCTTGGTTACTGGGACTTTGCACCATTTAAGCCTATGCGAAATACAGACCCAAAGTTACTGCCAATATTTTTCCCTTCAAATATATTACGTATCTTTCAAGTCCTTCCAATGGCTCCCTTTATCACAAGCTCAAAACAGTTTTAAGCTCTCTAACTTAATCTTTCCCAGAGACCAAAATGTCCACAGAGCCTGCCACCAAATACCAGTTTGTCAGGTGGTAAACTACAACTGTACAAACAACTAGTATCCACGACTTGCTACCTTGTATTTCCTTTTCTTTGCCTCTACCATGGTTTCATTTAATTGCCATGCTTTGTCCTTATCCCAGACCGTCAGCTGTTTAGAAGCAGTAACTCTAGACATATCTATGCAACACCCCGCACAATGGGAACTTGATTCCTGACCGAGGCCACCGTGCTGTTATAACAGCAGCACAAGATAAGGGACCTTCAATATAAACCTTTACTTGAAGCTGCGGCATAAGCAAAACACCTCGGAAATTCAGGTCATCGAACAGACCAAGACGTTACCGCCTAGGGGCTGATTCATATGCACGTGAAAAAAGTACTAACCAGTAAATTGTGTAAGCCTCTGCTTGAGCTGGGTCTTGAATATTTGGTTCATTTAGAAGTTCTTGTATTCCTAACAAGATCTGTTTGAGAGAAGGAGTACAAAGAGTCAGTTGTATAAAGTAATACTACGAAACATGCAATTCAGAACTTTTTATACAAAAGCATGATGAAGCATCCATATCACATCTTAAGTTCTCACAACATGACAAAGCAAGCAACGGTACATATGCCTGAAGTTTAAAACAGAAAAAGTTTATGACCTGTTTAATTGTGATTGCTGGCCTCCAATCCTTGTCCTCCTCTAAGATAGAGAGGCACACTGTGCCTGAAGGATACACATTTGGATGGAATAACGGAGGTTCAAATTTACCTAAGACAGAAGACGGACGACAGTTCTTTATGTGAAAAAAACCTAAGATTCTTAGATCAATTCTTAAGTCAAAATATTTAAAAAACTGGCATCTATTAATGGTGGACACTTTTCCCTATCACAGTCCCCTAGTGCAAAACACCCCCGTTACAGTGTTTGTTGGATTTCTGCAGTGCAGTTACTATTAGTTCTTCCTCACTTCTTGGATCAAAACATTAGAATTCACCCCAGGCGACTCTGGTCTCAGATGAACAAGACAGGTTGTCTAGGCTAGGATACAGAGAAGTTCTGGTATGGACAGACAGTAGGTATTAACATCAATAGGCACTGACATTTTGAAGGCAAAAAACAGGTCCCAAAACAAGTAGTGCTGCATGCACCAGCTCTCACCCTGGAAGAGAATCTTCCCTGTTATTTCAAACATCTTCACACAGTTCAGTTGTATACCTGCCTCTCTCTCTCTCTCCTCCTGCCATCCCCCTGCCGCCTTTTTTTTTTTTAAAAAACACAAAAGAAACATGAATGAATTTGGTCCTAAAATCAAATTTTGTTTCTTTAATAGCCCCCCAGTCTGTACTAGACTTAAATGCAAAGCAACAGATAACCTACCTTGAAGCAAAACACTAATAAGCGAACGCTGAATATACTTTTTTTCTGCACTGCACCATGGCTTTAAGCAAGATTTAACTTATAATAAAATTTATGGTTAACAAGTTGGTCAATTGACCAGTCAAATAATGTCAATTGACTGGTCAACTGGCCACTACAATTTGACCAAAGTCAAAAATTGTCAAATGTACTCTGAAGCCAAGAGTGCACTGGCATAGGTGGTATCTTTTTAAATGCATCAGAATCATCTGTTAGCAAGGGCAGAAGCAAGGACTTCTTGCCCCTCGGTCCTGCACAGAGACACATTCTCCATTTAGAACTCCTCTCTCCTGAGCCACGTGCGGCTGCAGGAGCTACTCTCTGCTCAGGGAAGAACCAAAGCCAGCTGCATAAAAAAAGGTTCTCCTAATGGCCAGTTGCTATGAATGCAGGCATTTCCAAAAGCAACATGGTACTCCTGGGGAAGAATAATCCACAATAAAAATACAAAATGGGTGAGACCTGGCTGGATGGTAGCACTGCAGAGAAAGATCAAGGCATCTTGCTAAATCAGACTTGGTACAAGTCTGCAGTGAGATGCAGCTACACAAAACGTGAATGCCATTGGGGGACGCATCAACAGAAGCATTACGTACAAGATATAGGAGGTAACAGTGCCTCAACTTTGGTTCGGCCTCATCTAGAGTAGCGTGTGCAGTTTTGGGCTCCACATTCTAAAAAGGATCTGGAGAAGTTAGAAAGGGTCCAGAGGCAGGCAACAAGAAATGATAAAGCACTTGGTAAGCAAGTCATACAAGGAGAGGTTGAAGGAAACGGACAAGTTCAGAGGCATTTAAGAGGAGACATGTCAGCAGCCTTCAAATACTTGAAGGTCTGCCATAAAGGAGGAGGAAAACATCTTTTCTCTCTTGCTGCTGAGAGTTGGACACAGACCACCAGCTTGAAGTTGTAGCCAAGTTGGTTTAGATTAGGTATCAGGAAAAACTTCTTCACTGTTAGAACAGTGGGGCAGTGGAACAGACTGCCTAGGGAAGCTGTAGACTCCACCACTGGAGGTGTTCAAAAAGAGGTTGGACAGACATAAGTCAGGGATGATGTAGGAGTAGTTATGCTTACATTTTACTATGAGAATTTCCATGCTTCTGGGCTTTGCCGATTGCCACATAGGGTTGGGAGGGAATTTTTTCCCCTCCTGCTGCTATACGCGTCGTGGGGGTTTAAGCCTCCATCAGTATCGACTGCAGCCAAAGCTGAGGATTTTGACTGGGATGTGCTGATACTCTTGCTGGGACTTAACCCTGGAGATTTCTGGCTAAAGGGCCTTTCCCCTCTGCTTACAGTCAGACCAATTGCCATATTTGGGGTCAGGAAGGAATTTTACCCCATGGTCAGACTGGTATGGACTGTGGGGGTTTTGCCTTCCTTTGTAGCAGGGTGTAGGATCCTTTTCCTTGGATTTCTCTAGCATATTTTAATGTCACACTTGCAGCAGTGTGACATTGGGGCCACTGTCCTCCTGCTGTACCTGTGGCAGATCAGGCTGTTAGGTCTCGTGGCTGTGTTAGGGATGACTACAGTTTTACTTCCGTTAGACAGTGGATTCGTGTAGGATGGTTTAGATAGGGATGAGTCTGCCTCAGGCAGGGGGCTGGACTCTAGAAGACCTCTGGGGGTCCCTTCTAGCCCTCTCTCCCCGACTCTATAAAATGTGACCAGCAAAATGCTTGAAGAGTTGGCCAGCTGCACACACAGAAACCAAACATAGCAACTATAAAAGACAAAAAGTCAATTTTTAAAACAGCTACGGGGGTTTTTTTTCCTAACTGCTCAGTTTATCTTAGGGTTTCAGGATAAAAGCTATGAAAAAGAAGAACTGTTCAGTCTCATATACTAATAAAATCTATACTCATCTAACATTGATAGTTATAAAAACTGAATTTTTTACAATGTAATTGTCTCATTTCACAATTAATTATCTTACTTTTTTTAAAATTTAGATGAAGTATCTACCTGCTGCAGATTAGACATTCCTCTCTTCACTGTTATAATAAAGTAATGCTTAAAATACTTGACTGGTCAAAAGGCCAACCCTAACAAGACCCAG